CATGGGTAAGTAGAGGGTACATCATTGATTGATTTCTCCCAAGGGAAGATAAAGTTAGAGCTAGTTGTCGGTTTGGTCAATTTTTGTCGGCTGGACCTCCCATTTCGCAGGCCTAAAATTTGAAAACCCTGGAACAGAGGTGGAAGAGGAACATAGCATTTGTAGAGCAGACAATTCTCTTTCGAATGGTATATGACTCGATGTAAAAGCATGGGGATTTAGATGAAAATTTTTTGGTTGAAAAAAAGCGACACTATTTATGAGACAACCTAATAATGACAGAATTTTAGGATTTTGAGCAAGTTTAGCGCGCTTCTGTTCCATTATATGACTCAAAATCTCACCAGTGATGTGGTCTTCTTTGTGCACTCTGACATGTCGTTCTCCGATGTAGGCCATTCATATTTGAAAATCAAGGTGAGTGGCGTGATACTCACATTGAAAATGGCGTTCCTTAAATTGAAAGGCTTCAGAGGTAGGTTCCACAAAGGCCTAGCCTAGTGAGTTCTAGCACACAAAAATAAAAACAAGTGTGAAAATCGGTCCATTGAAAGTGAATACGAAACACCGATTTCTTTAAGCAATGCATTCGACTTCTATCTATGGAAGCCTTTCTTCTTTCTCTTCTTTGTCTACAGAAGCCTTTCCTTATAGACTTTCAAAATAGAATATTAAAGCTACCAGCTACTCCCCCACCTCCCCTTCTCAATTATTGCCTACTGTGTGAAAAGAAAAAACGGTGAAAAAAAAACGGAAAATAGGTCCCAGAAGTTGTTGTAGAAGGTTATGGATGCATAAGCTTCGTCTTACAGTACCCCATATTTCACGGGGTTCTGCAGTCTTTTTTCATAAAAGTAATCACCTTCCACCAAGTAGAACGTATGGGCCATAGTTGTGCAGCAATACCAACGAGTCATCACTGGCGAATCGTAGTCGCCCAGTTCCTGGAAATATTGTAGATATTCGTCGTGTTTTTCAAAGTTTGCTGACAATATAGGACTGTACACTAAGATTTTGACACCTTGCAAACCTGACCCGCTTTGCCAACCCTGCCCCTTCATTTGGTTCTAGCAAGAAAAACGAATCAACTTTCTTCAGTGGTGGCATCGATTGTTCTGCTCCGTTAAGCATAAGCTAAGCACTCATTCCATACTAATAGCTTTCGAAATTTGGTAGTTTATACTTCTCAAGTCACACAGTTATTTGAAACAAAACCTACAAAACCACCCTGCTCAGACGGTCAGGAGTAGGCGGTGGCAGAGACCATGGAATGCATAGAGAGAAGTGGGCCTTGGGGTAGCCACTTACTGACGACGCAATGAAGGAATCCGTTCGAATTTGGAGGATAGAGACAAAACGAACGAGATAATAAGGTGCAATAGAAAAGAGAAAAGCTATTTTCATAGGTGGAGAAGGCCGTAAAGAGCTAGCAGTGACGAAATTCCGGATATCAAGTGAAGGCGTTTCCTGCCGTGAGCATTTTTGTGCACAAATGTACGGTGGGAGTCTGAACGCATAACCTGTTTACTGTTTAGGTCCGAATGTGCATAGACAAAGGTCAAATAGATTTTCACGAAAAAGAAAACTGAGGTCCTCCTGGTCCCAATATTCAATTTTTCCTTATAATAAAAAAAAGGATAAAGCATTTGCCGTTGATCAATCCCTTTTTGGGATGCGGCACGCATTCTACTTCCATTTGTACATTCGTAGTGGCGTTTGAATGCGATGTGGCCTATACAATGACTTGCGGGGGCCAGCCGATGTTCAAGTCAGTGTTTTTATCCTCCCAGACAAGTCTGGTACCAATTAACCGACCCCGGAGGGATGGAAGGCTTGGTTGGCCCGGGCGACTCACGACCCAGGATTTGATCCCCGGACCGCTCGCGTGGTAAGCGCGCCACTTGTCACTACACCACTTCCGCCCATTCGTATTAACATACGGACCATTTTTTTTTCAGTAGTTATGGAAATTTGATAATTTCACCAGAAATCAAACAGATCACAAAACTTGCAATTTTCAGAGCGGAAAAGTATTTTGTATTCGCGTGCTGTATTGAGGAAGGATCACGATAAAGGCAGCGAACGTTGAGAAGGGAAACTTACTACATAGTCTGAAGTGCACAGCGATCCTCTATAGTGCGAGCTGAAGCTGCAGTTCGTTAGCGAAGCGTACCCCCGGCGGTCTAACATTGTTTCGTCTCCAGCCTCCGCCTAGGCCGCGTAACGCCCGCCCCCCGGCTTTGCTCTATGGCGTTCCCTAGTCCATTGTAACAGAGAGATCGTGCTGTTGGAGGGCCATCTCCGACACACCTTCAGTGCGCCAACGGACAAAATAAGGGGTTCATTTTTTCGGGTTTTATGGTCATTTTTCGGTTTTTTTTTTGTAGCAACAGACCCCATCTCTTAGTTTGGTTTATTAGCTTTCAATGGGCTACCTTGTCAATGTGAAATTTGCCTTCGAAGGCAAAACAAGGAAGAAGTTATGCGAAGTTCCGTCAGTTTGTGTAGAGTATGGACCCATCTAGCGGATAATCGTAGAGGCGTTCCCATGCACGGAAATCCGTTGAGACCATTGAGGCCTTGAGAGGTGAGCTGCTGCAGATGCTGCAATTTTTTCTTTCATCAGGCTGCTGTTTAGACGCCTTCTCATCGTTGCGCTCTGTCGCCTCATGCTCTCCTCTCCGCGCTCAGTCTCTCATTGTCTTAGCACGGCCGATTGCGAAGGCCTTACCCTTAACGTTTTCACCGGATTCTTTTCCTTTTTTCTTTACTGCCACCCATTTCGCACCAATACATTCGCACTCAGGTGAGCGAAATCCCACCACTCTGATTCCGGGGCATACCCTTTAATAATGTTGTCGTGACAAGACAAGTGATAGTTCGAAGCTACTCAAAATGACATCGCAAGGTGAAAAGTCAAAGTTGGAGTTTTTGAGTGGATTCAGTTTGTTAGCTGTTATTTTAACGCCGCAGATGAGTTGCGCATGTTTCACAAAATGCTGAGTTATGGGCAAAACATTTGCCCTGGGCGGGAATCGAACCTGCTCCTCCAGCTAACTGGCCGAAATTCAAACGAATTTAAAGATCTGACAGCACTCAACAACACAAAAGGAAGTAAAGAAGAGTCGTAAAGGGAAATGAGGCGAAAACGCAGAAGGGCTGTAGAGCTAGCTTGGTTTGTCTTTCGCAGTGCACATTAACGAAAACATTAATTTACCAGAAATGATGAAAAAGGATAGTTAGCCACGTACCATTTGTGAAGTCGAAGAGCGGAGGGGAGGAGGAAGCGGGCGACAACGCTGAGACGACGGCGACAATGGCGGTGAGAACGAGCAGAGAGACGATCATGAACCAGACGTTGATGAACAGCGAATCATCTGCTTGAGGTGAACAAAAATGTGGCGTACAGACTCAACAGAAGGCGATGAAGACGAATAGCAGCCACAGCATGGCCCGGCTCCTGTCCGTGTAGGTGTGTGTGTGTGCGAGGTTTTCTGAAAAGAAAAACCAAATAGATCGGCGTAAAGATTGGGGTTCACGATAACGCCCCAATTCGCACAGGATCGACGTGGAAAAGGGCGGAAAACGGACAACTCAAAAGATCACGAAGCGAAAACAATGCACGACTTCTGAGGCAGCCCTCTGCCCACCGCCCATTCGGAAATGTCTTGCGACATGGCTATAAAACTAGCAAGCAAGTCAGCCAGCCGGCCAGCCGTTCTTTTGCCGCTGGCTGAACGCCTTTCACCGCTCGTCCAAGACGGCAGCTGTCCAACGCTTCTTACACTGCCGTCGGCCATTGTTCTGAGTTTTTCAAAAGGCATTGAAAGCTGAAGTCTCACAATGAACATGAAACATACGCTGGTGACAGAAGCGTCTGCAAACTATGAGTATCACCTGCAGAACGAAGAGAATATGGGGCTGGTAGGGGGCAGGGTGTGGACTCGGTGGAAAATGTAGGTGAATTTGGGTAGTTCTAGTGCGCTAAGGGGCCAAGGTCTCAACAATCTCTCAGGAAAAAAATGCAAAGTTTGACTAAGTGGCTAATTGCTCCTATCACGCTCACGGTAAGGGTGGATTGGACCTGTACATGTCTGCCAGTGTCTCCCTAATCCCACGGGATTTGCTCCGCTCAGTCGAAATAGTCGCGAAGGCTATGGAAATCGCTAATTCAAAGGTTCATTAATTACTGTTCTACGCGGCTAACAACAGCTAATAATACAGTGACGTAAGCGTGAGCCACTATTGAGTCACAGTCCAGTCGTCGCGGGACGGCATGAGCCAGCAGTGGATCACAGACCAGAATACTGCGCGGCAAGAAAACGCTGAGCGCTGTGCAATGTTAGTCCTTTAAAGGCACTATAGAATAGGTGATCGCGCCGATATGTGGGCGGAATGTACCAGGTGGCGTTCAAGCTCTCAGCTGAAAAGAGGACGGGTCATAGCGGGCAAGCCCTCCAGGATGAGCACTTCAGCACCAACAAAAGTGAATGGTACCAGGTAGCCCCGCGTGAGTACACTAACGCGATTTCTACCCTTCAGTTGAAGTTGAGCGCATTCAGTATCCTAGAGGTAATAAACAGGTTCATGCCCCACTTACTTATCTCCCTGTTCTGGCGAGGACCTCTCCTAACTGAAAACTCAGTGGCACTCTCAGGGATGGCTTCGAAAAAAGCCGATATCACGGGTGCTTCATGATGCCCTTGATGTTGCATGATGCCAGGTGCGTATATAAATTTGCAATTCAGTATACTCCGGAGGGTAAAGAAGAGTATGTACTGTTGAATTGTTCCGAGAAGCGTATAGTCATCAATCCTATTGGAATCAAGTGTACACAACAGCTGCCGATCATATTTAACAATGTATGCTTTAGAAGCGGTAGTCAAATTAATGAGTATTCGATATACAAATAACGTAGCCTTTCTACTGGTAGGCCAACCCTGTGATTATGGCCTGAGCAGAAGTTTTTTGAATGATTACAGCTTCTGTAGCAGTTGTGTACTGTATTGGAATGCAGCATGGAATTGCCGAAGTTTCGAGAAAACGTCTGCGAGATATGCCATGCACCTGGCACCCACTGGATTTTTTTAAAACTTGGAATGGATGCTGGGCCATAAATGATGGATGTTCCATTTTGTTTTTTCCTCCGGGACAACTTTGATGGTATCGCGCCCACCCTTAGAGATCGAATACCTTTTTAGCTCTAGACAGAGATCGATCTCCCAAATTGGGCGCGCTTATCTTGCTCTACCTACAGATAGCGTCAAAGTGATCTCAGAGACATTGAAATTACAAATTTGCGATTCAATTGGTTCAGGAACCAAAGAAATATTGCAGAAGAAATTCTCTGGGTCAATTAGTCATGAGCGGTGTCAAGCACCCCATGGTCACATTGCTTCAATTCCAACGGAGGCAACCCTGTCGCTGAAGAACCTAGCGGTGATCGTGTGTTCGACTCTAGGGTAACGGACACTGGCAATACAAGGCTATTCGGGGAAGATCTTTCTGTTTTAGGGCTAAATTACACTCCGACCCAGTCCCTTGACCACTTTATATTGCGCAATAGTAAGTAACTCTCCAATCCCTGCAAGATCGCCTGCGCCGAAAGCCAAGATGGACGCGCTTGGTACCAGTGCTCAGTTTATGGGAAATGGCACAGCAATTCCACCTCCACCATTTCCAGCCACGTACCTGCCCCCACAGGAGCCCAATGTTGCTATCGATACAAAGTTTCGCTTTTTTCGTTCCCAACTGCCCTGCTCACTAT